TCTATCTATCTATCTATCTATCTATCTATCTATCTATCTATCTATCTAATCTATCTATCTATCTATCTATCATCTATCTACCGTGTTTTCCCCAAAATAAGACAGGGTCTTATTTTCTTTTGACCCCTGAAATAAACACTGGGACTTATTTTCGGGGAGGTCTTATTACTTTTGAGGTGCAGGAGGAGACGGTGAGCGGGGTCACCTCATGGCTGCTGCTGTGTTGCAATATTTTCAGGGGAGGGTCTTATTTTAGCGCATGCGCTCAAAAGCCCCGATTGGGCTTATTATCAGGGAGGTCTTATTTTGGGGAAAGAGGGTAGAAATAATAACAAAAGAGGAATTAACTTATTCGATTTTTATCCTGCCTTTTCCCCCCCCCTTTATATCAATAATAACGTACAAACGAACATAATGCTTCCATTTCCCCCCCCCCTCAAAACCACCTGGGGATTGGCCCAAAGTCGCCCAAGCGGCTTTCGTGCAGAAACGAAAATGCCAAAAAGAGAATCTTTTTGATAAAATAAATAAAGATGAAAAACGTGTCATTTGAGAGCTGGAATGGAGCTAAAGGCGCAATCTCCCCCCTTAGTGCCCCATGGAGGAACTGAATCCGCAGAGGAACGTCGTCGACGTCCTTCCGAAGCTGAAGTCGCTGAATCTGGCCGACCGAGCCGTGTACGAAAAAGGGATGAAGGCCTTTGTCTCTTGCGTCCAAGCCTACGCCAAGCACGAATGCAACCTGATCTTCCGGATCAAAGGTGAGCTGGCTTGGCTGGAAAACGCTTGAGAACGTTTCCTTTCCGTTTATTTTGTGAGCATGGCCACCACATAGGAGAGAATCTGCCTCTTAGCGTTTACGACGTTTCTTCCTTTCCAGTTCTTCATTGACTTTGCAACCTCTGGAACCTCCGTGGTGGTTTCGGCCCATCCTGTTTTTTGTTTTTTGTTTTTTTTAAATAATTTTATTTTTTATTATATATACAACATCACATAACAGTAGAAAAAAAAAGGGAAAAGCAAAGAAAAAAAACCCCCATCGTCCCATACAGTATGTCATTTGATCACAGGTGCATCCCTACTACGTTTCCCCCCATACACACATCCCGTATCTCTCTGTTGTATATTTAATAGACACCACAATAACCTAGGGTTTAAAAAAAATAGAAAAACCATCATCACATGCAGCATGTCATTTGGTTACAAGTGTTTTAACATCTGCATCTTCAAATAATATTTACCGTCTCAAATATTTGATCTAATATAACTAAAGACCTCATTTTCATTCTACAATATATATTCAGTTAACATTAGCATTATTTTTCCCCAGGAAGTATACTTA